TATCCACATGCAAAAAACAATGTACCATCAGTTTTATCCACTATGCGTTTCCATCATTCAAAACATTATTTGACGAGTCAATGTTACTGTTGAAATAAATAATTTGTGAACAATTTTCATATGCTATCAATCCAACAACGAAGGAATTGATATGTAATCTGATGTGATTCAACTGTGAGCTGTTTGGAGCGATTTGAACTTCTCGGTATGAAAAGAATAAAAAGAGCACATTCCGAATTTAAAACTGTTCAATTAAATGACTACCTAACGGAAATTTGATTCTTCCTGCGCGTCACCGACTGCCCATTCAACAGTTCCAATCAGCTTCAAATTCTGACTTAACTGAGAGATACGAATTCGAAAAGTGTGGAATGAGCGCAACCAAACAAGTAAACCAAATAGAACACGCGAAAAAACTTACTTCATCTTAGACTATCCACTTAATTCACTTCCGTCGTGCCTCGCAGCAACTGTGCACAATTCATGACTGAGCATAATCAATGGCCTTTTTGTAAATCAGTTTATTAGTCGAGAAATAATGATCAACAATAAAAACGTATGAAAATGAAATGTCGCCAAAATATAAAAGGTAGTTGATGGATGAAATCAGTGTAAAAGTATAGCTTTCAAAAAATAAAAACAATAAAAATGCTAAAGAGCTTTCCCTATCCATCAGAAAAGCTTCATCCCTGGCATGCCATCTCGTACACCCAAGGGGTGCAAGCACCGCCGGTTGAGAAACCCTGATCTAGAGCATCTTCTTGATCGATCAATTAACCGTAAAGAATATAATATGTATACTACGAATAAAAATTCTGATGAACTATCATTGTAAAACAAACAGTTAAGAGAACTGTTGAATGTCACTATTTGAAAAATTACGCTAACGACCAAAGTTCAATAAAAAATAAACAATTTCAAAACGCATTCCTAACTAAAAACGAACAATTTTCCGGTGCGATGCTAACACATTGCAGTCAACATAATCAGCCTTTCAAGCAAACAATTCAGTTGGCACAGAAACAAACTACTCGAAGATGAAACACAGAATGCGATAGAAAAAAAAGGTAACATATCCATCCTACTTCATCTAAAGAGCCGCACTAAGGCTCAAGACTCTCTGAGCACAATCAACATCTTACCCGTACCTTGAATCAAGAAAATACCTGAAGAGAACTCAACAACTGCAATAAAATAGCTATTTAAAATACTATTTGAAAATACTATTTGAACTCTAGGAATTTAACAAAATGACTCGATTCCAACATTAGAACAATACAAAATCAACAAATAACAACACTAAAAATGTGGTTAAACCCAAACAAATGAAGAAGTCATCAACATCAAAGTTATCAACAATCGAAACATCACCATTAATCGAACTGCACAGAAATTGAAAGTAAAATGTGGTAACAAGGCAGATGTGGTCGTTGAACAACTCAAAAAGGTTTGCTCATAACATTCACATTCAGCGATCTTTCTTCGAATGAGGCAAGTCGGACAAACGCTCACTCAATAATTTCATACATCCAATATCATTTTCTTGTCCAATTCCTCAGGCAATAAATATTTTCCGATCGAAGGACGAAGTTCAAAAAATAGAAAGAGAGAAAGGATGACGACCTTATCGAAAAATGAGTCCGCAAGAACACTTTCGATGCTAACTGCAGAAATTTTCTGCGCTTCTTTGGCTGCCAACGCCACCTCTCTGATACGCTCATGAGCCACCTGGCGATCTGCACCCTCCTCGGTTAACCACATCATTGCTTTTTCGAGTGCCAAAAATGGTAGCTCTTCGTCCACGACACGTGCTATATGCTCATATTGTACGCTCAATCCTTCGGCAATATTCTGCAACAATGAATTTTTTGTATCACTGACGAAGTTTTTTTTTTGCTTTCGAATGTTGATGTTTTATGAAGAAGATGTCAAAGCGAAACATAGAAGTGTTGCACCGATCTAGCAAAGGTTTTTTTTCGACAGTAATCCACTTGCCTGTTTTGTCTCTGACATTCTTAGGCCTAATACTAGTGCTAAAGTAAGCTTCTCCATTATCTTATGCTTAAAGCAAGGGAAGGTAGTAACTTCAAACTTTTCACGTATGTTTCGCATCATATATAAAACAAACTTTTGTAACAATATCCAAAAATACCAGTATCATTGTAAGCGCTATGCAAATTATCGCGTTCCTTACAAAATCAACGATGGAAAATAATGATAATATGAATTTGATTGCATTGTTACGATTCAAATGTTCCATTCATCCTTCCGTTGTCGTCAGTTCACGACCCAAGTTTACCTACTTCTTTTACATAATTCTGGCGTTTAGTTTCCTACATTTGATTCTATTATCACCGCGAATCTTCTATTATCCACATTTTTGTTGAAGCTAACACCATTTTCACTACTGTTCATAGTGTTATTGCATCAGAAATATATATTTTCATAAATGCACACAAATGAACAAACACAGAAATGAAATTTCTAGCAATGAAAAGTGAGCATTGGCAAACGAAAAATCCATAAGAGAAAACCAACAAACAATACAATTGGATATAGACAAATAAATGCTAACTTGAAATGTTGTGAGGATGGCGTCTGCGATCAGGAACGAGTCTGCAATATCAATACGACGTATCGCCGAATCGTCCAACGTTCTTTCAAGACCTTGCGATGCGAATGTAAACAAAGCGTCCTGAAAATGTGTGCTCATAATTTGTCACATCAAAGTTTTCAATGACCACCAAATAACACTAACTAGAGTATGAACGCACAAGTATGCTTAAAAACCTGAACGTATATTTTATCGCAAATGCCTACAATTTTTTCATATCCCTTACAATCAAAACAGAACTGATGTGTAGCAAAATTGAAATAATGCAAAGTATGCAAAAGCCCACTGAATGAATTACATTGGTACTAAAATCTGACAATATCAATTAAATGAGTATAATATTTGAATAAAATTATCTGTATGTCAATCTACTGATATTAGGCTCATAACATAACAAATAATAATTCATTATTAAACTGATACGACACACGCAAATTTCATGCAATTTTATGTAAAATCCACACTTCGCAATAGACTCTGATATTTTTAATGACATTTTCTGAAATGGTAATATTTTAGAGGGTTCGAAAGCATACTTCACTTCACGACTTACTTGTGAAGTTGTAATGAGACGACGTGACAGACTGCAAACACGTTCACTCTTCATCGGATTGCGTTTATAGGGCATTGCCGAACTGCCCACTTGACTCGTCTCGAACGGTTCCATTATCTCACCCATTGCCTGCAATCACATTACTCTTATCTTTACTAGCTTTCATCATCTTTATTGCCTTCCATGTACGAATATTTAAAGATATGGTCATATTACTTCACGTATCACGAGACTATTTCAATGCTAGACGTGCTTATTGAATGCAAATGATCACTATCAACGAATAAATACTCGTTCCATCAACACTTTGCATCAATCACCACCCACTAACGACCCACATTTGTTCCAACAGCTCATTCGACGTTTCAATCTGCGGTCCCCTTTACTTCGTTATTTAAACCAACATTTACGACTCAGTTTTCGATACAGTTGGAACAATGCTATAGAATTATTGGTATAATAGATTGATCTAAAAAGAATTTATCACAAACACGCTTTCGTGATTGCATGAAACGATGTCAAACCGAGTGAATCAGGTTTTCGATTGCACTCAACTGCAATCAAATATTCACAATGACTCCTTAAAGTTCATCGGATGACTGACTGTCATAAAACGTCATTATTTATTACAAATCATGAACATCCAACACTCATGTATGTGCCTATGCTGTAAATATTATATCATCACTATCATATTCTAGCCAGAACATTGTACTGTGTGCATTACATGTATTACATTCATATCAGAATGTTATAATTCCCGTTCAATTAAACTTCACGAATCCACATTGTTATGCACATAGTATTGAATTAACTTGTTTAAAAGCGAGCAAGATTCTCGAGCAAACCTGCAGCAGACGAATATCGTTGCAAACTTTCGTCATTGCCGCACCAAGTAAAGCGAATGCATTGAATAAAAGACAATCCTAAAATAGCATACATCATGCAAATATTATATCATGTGTACGAAAATCGATCGCTGCCACACCAATAAAGATTTCAATACTGCAAAACTCCAGTAAACGAAGACCACTATGTGAGTGGATTGAATAATTTCGTTAAATTTCGACAGTCTGCATAAACTATGATGAATGATTCAAGCAATCGAGCATAACGGTTACCCACCTGATGTCTGGGATAAGTTTGTCCAGAGACGTTGAAGTGTTGATCGAAACCAGCTTTTGCCGTAACCAGGTCATCCAATGCCAGAACCTGAATGTCATCAGCAATGAAACTGCATTAACTCAGAAAACAAATACCTTCAATTAGTGAGCTAAACAAAGCAGATTCGAGCAATCAACACAGCCAATGACCTATTCAAATACAGATTATTTCCTTCAGACTTAACACACAATTCATCCGCTGCACTCTGTTATCGGAAATGTTGCATTGTCATCTAACGTCCATCCAAGAAACCATCATAAATAAACTGAGTAATTAAATTAGTTATCAAATTGTGCACGTCTATTGAAACGCTCGAATCTTCCAAAGTCAGCACCTTTTGATTACTAGAAACATGAAGCAAAAACCTTCATATACCTTCTGTTCATCGTTATGAAACAGAGCCATAAATGAATCCTGTGTTCCAGTTGCACCTTTAACCCCACGGAAACGCATCTCGTCACGAAATCTTTCCAACTAAAACATTAAACAATATTCAAATTATGGACTGCTCATAAATATGGATGGTTTATGAATCTGATATTCACTGACATCAGAGATGCATTCACATGTTAGTAAACAAATGATGATGCACTTGAATGAAAAGAATATGACTGCCTCAGAAAACTGATTAAGGACCTATTCACCTCTTTGAATGCAACCAGGAGATCCTGTGCCCATATTGTGGCACGCTTGCCAACAGTCACTAACGATGCCGACTGATAGTGTGTTCTACCAACTGTAACAACTTCTTTTGTATCATCCGCGAAGTCTGCTAATCGACTCAGACCGGTCGCAAATCTGGAATCGTATTTTGTTTTACAGTTGGCAATATTTGCATCTGAACATGGTTTCATACATTTTTAAAAACAGATCTCAAAAGGGGATATGTTGTAATAGCAGTATGTTTATCACATTCAAATGAAACCACTCACATCACATATTCACTGAAAGGTTTCAATCTCTTCAATCGAAAAAATGTTTTGAGGCATGGAAATGGAGCATGATAAAACTAGCAGTTCCATCATAGGAAACTCTCATTAACTATAAATAAACTTGAGCACCGTCATAAACTGAATCCTACCGTTTCAGGATGACATCAAGTGCCTGTCTTTGCAAAATTAGGTCTGCGTTATCTTGCACAAAACATGATGTGGCTCCCA